CTTTGCTCTCTCACACATTCCTTGCCAGTTATGTAAGAATTGGGAGAGCATCAACGTGAATCAATGGTGTCTTAAAGCGTTTCGTTGTGTCCAATCCGAAGCGAACACGAGAGGTGGATGGTGGTCAGCCTCATTTCTATCCCAACCATCGATAAGACCTGCCTTTAGAACACAATATCATCTGTAGCACTATCATCCCGTTAATTGTCGTGTGACTTGAGCGGGCGCCAGTGAATTCTCCGTTTTTCCTCGTCGTGTGCAGGAGTACTCCGGTGGATTGTGCTTGCTCTTGTCTTGGGACTCTGTGAGCAGCCAATATTTTTGCGAAAGTTTTCGCTCTGAGCACAGGTTTGGTAGTTTTTTGCGCGTTTGACATCTCGAATAATCAAGTGGCTAACGGCTCCTGTTGATTTTTTGTGCTTCACACGCATCATATGTTCGGCTAATCAGATTTCCGTCATTTTGTAATGCACACCGACATTCATGATACCTCATTATTGACCTTGGTTGGAACTTAATAATTGTTCTCCTTTTTGCATGATTCGGAATACTGCCGCATTGCCTTTCCGCATGTTCGATAACGCTAAGCGATCTCTAATTTTGCTTTCCCAGGTACCAGGTTTCTGGCGCTCACGTTAAGCCAGGAAGAATTATAAAACGGTGAGATTTCGGAATTTGGGAGCAGAAATATCCTTGGGTGAACAAAAGATTTAAACACAGCGATCTTGTGGGTGGACCTTGGTGAGAAGCTGTTTTTTTGATTAGAAATTGAAAGGTAGTGTCTCTCGACATTTCTTAGGTTTCTAATGAACTTTTAGATATCGTTCAATCCATCCTTATCAGTTTAACCGAAGATGTTGATGTCAACCGGCTTGTAATTGTTTGCACTTTTTCAAAACTTCAAATAATATCGCATTGTAAAACGTCGATGTGGTCCTAGTGTAATAGTAGGTCATGGAATAATCTATGTTCGAGCATGGTCTTAATTCATTTATCTCTGTCTTCTGTTCTTCTCGATTAACTACCTACCGCAAGATCTACTGGGTAACTATAGAGCTCAGTTTTACTCTATGATAGTTTCTTGCGCTCTTCGGAGGTCTTTTTTGGAGACTGTCTTTCCTCACTTCTCGAGTAGATAGTCGTAAACGTATTAAGAGTCGATTTTCAAGGAAATTCCTCACTAAAAGGCCCACCTGAGCGCGCATCTTAGAGAATGAGCTCGCTCCTGAATCCACTTAAGCTTCGATAAGAGTCATGGTTGTTCTTCCTAGTTCCTTAATCTGATATCGATCGCCTCGGTACTGGCTATCAAAATCAGTGTGTATGTTTTTATAGATGTCAAAACATAGCCGAATATAGACAAAGTCAATGTTCCTCATTACTGTTCATTATTACTTGATACTTGATTGGCTCACCCTTACTGTTTGTGCATGCCTCAGCATAATCTCCACTTCGTGGATATTTTCTGGTTAATCCATTGTGGTTCCCTAGAATCCCGAGCGCAGCCTGGCTAAAGTCTGCCCAGGACGTCATCACGACAAGCAGTTGCAGCCCTTATGAATCAGAGAAAAATTTGTCACCCTGCGACTTTGATACCAGGACGGTGGTGGATCCTGGTAGTGATTTACTCTTAACTGGGTTTTCTGATGAAAACGCCGGACTCCTTCTCAGCCTGGCATAGCCTGCTAGCGGATGAATCCCCCGCTGTACATCGTAGTCCTACGTGCAGGAACACCTCCCAGCTACGATGAGGCGGTAAGCCGTTGGGAGGCTTGTAGAATTCGAAGACTGCATCATTTGTGCTACAAGAGCTTATCGAACAAAATCCATTACCTATCCTTCATGAATTGCGGAAGGCTTCGAGAGCTTCCTCATCTGAGTTTGCCAGTGAAATTGGAACCCTCGGACTACACCCGTTGGATGCAACGAGAAATTTTGCCGACGAACTATATATCTGTTTCGTGCATCGCGATATCAGCGTGGAGATACCTGAAAAGGGTGCAGCAGGCTCTGACTTCAGTACACTATCGGCCTTTCATAGGAAGAAGGTGGATTTAAAGAACTATTGGGCATACAGTGACGGTAGAGACCGTTGTCATTGTTTCTTCTTCGTACCCGTCCTGTAATTCTATGTGCGAACGTATCAGGTTTCCAGATGTGAAGCTTCAGTGATTTTTCCAAGAGAATAAATTGTATTTTTTGAAAGCTCTTAGAATTTTCTTTTCCACTTCATTGCCACTGATTTCTTCAATTTCACGTTTTCTAACAATGATTTTCAAGACAAGAATTGTCGCGTATTTTGGTAATCATATTTTTATGAAGCTGAATTGTGTTGAGGAATCGCATCGATGAATTTAATTGAAGTATTCAGGCAATGGGAACGAGCAGACGTGTAGCTTTCAGACAATGCAAAACGTTGAGTAAAACAACCATCATTCCAGTGTTAAGTAGCCAGAAATAGCGAGATCTGAAGTTTCTGGCACGGAAAGGGGAAACAATTTCAGTGGACGAACATACACAGACGTGACAGCCTAGGTATTACTGTAACCCACTGAACTCACTTCATCATGATGCCACTGTTTTTGTTTACAATATTCAATGTTCCCTATAGCAGATGAAACCGTTGAGGCAGTGATGTTTAGCCATTGATTTGCGCTGTTGCGAAGCTCTGAAGTGAATTTAACCACTATTTTGTTAACGTAGAATTAGGTAACGGCATTGCATTTGGGGCCTACAGATAGCTCTGGATTCTTCCAACAAAATTTTGGTGCAGGGAACAATGGAGAAGAGCCATTTTGTTGTCGTTCAAACAGGTAACCTAAAAAACCGACTTACTGTAAACCTCAGCATGGATAATTAATATAAGTAATTCCTTCGAGGAGCGCGTGTGGCGCCGTGGTTTGAGGAACTCTGCAACACACATGTCGGATCGATCCTTGCGTCCATGGTCCGCCAAGCTATTCATCCCTCCGGGCCCGGTAAATTGGCACCAGACTTGTCTAGGGGGATAGCATCTCTGGCTCGGTACATCGGTAGGCCACCCGCGAGTCATCGTAAAGGACAGATATGCATTCAGTCACCTCCAAACGATGCTTATTGAAGTAGGCTGCATGGTGCACCATCAGGGTTTGATCAACGCTGAGAGCTTGATCCTTTTTTTCAATTCCCGCGAACTTCTGTGCTTGAGATGGTGCGGGGTTTTACCAATTGTTTTTGTTGCCGCGATTCGATAGCTGACGCTCTGCCTTCTTCGCTTACTTCGGACCATTTTTGTAAATTGTGAGACCAACCGTGTGTTGTCAACGTGGAATGACCATGTAACATGTAGACGTTAAGGATTAGTTATATAAGGATCATCATAATAACACGTATAAGCTATCTCATTTAGTTTTCAAAAATCACATATGAAGTTTTCTCGAGTGCAGCGTAAAATAGTTCGTCTCTTCGTTCTTCATCGCAAAGCTATCATTGTCCAACTGTGAGATTTTTCTGCCTACAAGATGTTGTTCCTTCAAGGATTGTACCGTACGCTCGGTAGCGCTCATCATATTTCGTGTACGCCTCTGTCACTGACAACTTTACTCATGGTTTGGTGTTTCCTGATAAAAATTTCTGAATATTCTGCCTCATGTTTATCGTTAAGCTATAATTTACTACTTTATACTTGCTAGTGCGGTAAAGCGCCTTCTCTTATGTTCATTGTTACCGTGGTCATTGCTGCTGTGGCTGTATGAAATCATCGCAGCGATTTAGATGCTTAACATCTGTTTGTAACAATTCAATCTTTCACATAAAATGCTACTTATCTAATTTTACTGTAGTGATTCTGGATAGGAATGGCAATCGACTTTGTAATTGGAGGAGCTACAGTTTGGTAGCCATTGGAAATGGCTATTTCCAGCGCCAGGTTTCGCTATCCTTCCTTCTGCTCTGTTCCTGTACACACGCTGGTGGCTGTTCGAAACATGTTTCTTACAAGCGTCCTTTTGTGTGAGAGGGGTGAGAAGAGAGGTAATGTACCAAAATATTTCTACTACTTGGCTTTCGGTACCACTTCGTAATGTATCCATTTTCTGACAGGTTAATTTGGACGTTTAGAAATGGAAGCCAGTTTTCTTTCGGTTTCTCTCGGGTGAATTTGATATGCTCTAACTGTTTATTCAATAACTCGAAACACTTGTCTAGTTGAGCAGAAGACAAAATAGCCATCTATATATCTACAGTAAGGTAACGGCTCGAGATCGGTTACTAGTGCTTCCACCTTAGATATAAACGCAATGGCATGACTTGGTGCCAGTCGCTGTTCCATTGCCAACCCTCTTATTTGGGCGCAGTACTTTCCGGATTGTCTGAAGATTGAGCAGGCTCAGGCATTCTTTTAAGTGTGCCATCAACTGTTCTATCATGAAGCCATGCATGTTTGTTTCTCCTTCGTGTTGTATAAATAGTTCGAATATGGCTTGCGTAGCGGAGTCATTCGACACGTTTGTATAAAGGGCGATAACGTCGAAGGACTCCATCACGTACGGGCTGTTGTACTGTGAAGTACGTAGACGATCCAGAAACAACTGGGTATTCGTAAAATAAGCTAGAATGTGTCGGGTTCTGAATGAGAGATAATATGGAAACTGTTGAATAGACCTTGCTGTTTCTGCTAGGCTCTTGAAGGTGGGTCTGTGTAATGATGTCCTCTATTTGAAGAATCTATAATATATCGGTATTTACTCTTCAACATAACGTCTGAGAGGCTGTAATTTAGAGTCAAAAAATATCTTAAGCGAAGACGCTATAGGCCGGATTGCTGCTTCGAATTCAGTGCCACGCGGTGTTGAGCTGTTCGCTTGAATCAACTTATATCTATTTGGTCGCTCGATGCAACGTGAGCCTTGTGAGTGCTGTCTTCACACGTAAAACTCGAAATTTGACAAATCAAATGACTAGTTAAACTCGTTGATTTCAGTAATAATTTCCTCTACTTTCTTCGAGCCTCTGCCAAAAAGTCACTTCTTCAGATAATGCTGATATCTCAGAAGTTTCTTCTTCAACTGATTCGTCGCCAGCTAAAATTTCTCTAAAATTTTCACCAAAATGGAAATTCCTTAGATCATCCCGTTTTCAAACTCATTCTTTTCCGTCATACCAAACATGGTCTCACGTTTATGCTCGAATAGCGCTTTGTAGAGAACAATATTTTAGGAAGCTGATAATATGTACCAGTCGACATATGGTGACAATAGTAGAGATGTCAGCAATTTTAATCTAAATTCCATAAGTCACGATTTTGAAAACATTTAAGACATCTACTTCATTGTTACTAAGGCCTTTAACAAATGAATCGATTCCAGATTACAGTCCACTGACCATTTTCCATAATGACCATCGTAGTGCACGTGGAGGAGACGCCTTCAAAAATGGAGTGTGGCTGAAATTTATGCGCGCTCTAATACCATATAATGTTGGCGAATATCTCAGTTATTTAGAGACGACTGGCGTCAAAAATGTCGATGAAAAAAAAGAACTTCATATTCACCTTTCGAATAGCTTACACGGTTATGACGTGATCTTCCGAAACGTACCTTTTCAATGGAAAGCAAGTCCTCGTAGGAGTCATCGAGCACTGCTTGAGATTCTGATGAATCAGCAGTTCTGTTTCCATTTTTCGATGTCGAACGTGGCGGTCTCAGCTGGGCTAAAATACGACAAGTGAGAAATTATGTCATTGTAGAATCACTTCTTCGCTAACAAAAATAACGAAAAAAAACTTGTTATGACTGCGGTCCTATGATTACGAATATTTCACTACCTCATTTGCTGGGATAACAATCTAACTATTGCAGAGGTATATCAATACTTACCTGGAAACATGAATGGCCGGTCTCCACTAGTGGTGCGGGCACCAGCATATTTTCTACTCGGTTGGGCATATGCTGGTTTAGCCATTGCGGTTCCCTAGTGTGCCAAATTCCGCCTTGCCGAAACGTTTCCCGGGTCGTAACCACCTCAGGCTGTGGCCGCCTTTGTGGATAGAAGGAAGATTTGTCTGTCTGTAGTATTTGGAATCGCTTTATCCTTTTTTAACCTTTTTGCATTAAGAAATAAGAAGGATGGCAATACTGGGAGAGTTCTAACTTCATTCTCTACAGGTACCGCTCGATTGGTATGGTTCCTGTATGCTTGAAGAATTTGTTGTGTTCTATTGAAAACTATTCCTCCCATCCAAGGATTTTTTCAACATGTCATTTGTCGCCCACATTATCCTCCTTTTATTCTCATCTTCCGATATTAACACTAATCATTCTTCATTACCGAAAATGCCTGATGAAAGTACGTTTTGTAGAGACACATTGAACACCAAATAAAAGCAAAAGGTATAAAAATAAAGTACTAGCACTATTCTAAGACGCACCTATTTCTCTATCGATTTCGCCTAATATTTCGTCCCATCGCTTGCGTTTGATATGGTCTTCGGCGTTGGCTCGAGGTCGAAACGTCTCATTGTCAGTCTTTGTAACCACAATATCACAGCATTCCTCATACTTTACGTCATTCTCATTTTAAAAAAAGCTACTACTTTCTTAGAACCGTGTCAATGTAGTCTCTACTCACAAACATCATGTGCGGACTTTTTTCGCTTATTGGACTAAGATGATTTCTAGAAAAAGGTGGCGCTCTTGTCACGGTCCGCCTAGAAATAGCCATCATTGCAAAGTTATTATAGTAATCACAACATTTACTTTATATAAAACACTACAGTGTTGCTCACTTTTTGTTCGCATGCGGCAACTTTAAAAATGATGGTTTCATGTCGTCTTGTGAAGACACGCCAAGTTGCAATGAATGAGGGTGCTCGGGCGTTATTTCCATTGACTGCCTACACGAAGACGGTTGTTCATCGCAGACTTCAGTTTCACTATTAGGGTCCTAAACGCAGAAATTTCAGTAACGGTTTGAGTCTATGGTCGCTTAGTGCAAAATTAATGCACTGTAATAATTAAAAACTTAAATTCGTTCAAAACTCCGAGTTTCAAAGAATTTAAGAAGATTTCGATCCTAGATGGTAACCACTCGTGTGACCGTCTATTACACAACGCAGAATTGCATAGTATGCCCGAATGGTGAAGAGAGCGATTGCGTGAGTTTGAGTACGATGTACCTGATCTCTTATACGAAGTACTGAACGAATATGTTAGCGAAACGGGTAGACCACCACTTTGTCAGCGCATAAAAGAAGACCTAGACGGTAAGCGCGAACTGAAAGAGAACCTCCATTATTCGGCGCATAAAACCGTAAAGTAATTTTGGATAAATTCTAAGAATCGAAAAACGAGCCGAAGGGAGAAAGACCTCATCATTGGGCAAAATTTACACAATATCTTAGATCGAAATTTTTACGTAAGAATGGCACATTTTCCATCTATGTGTACTCTGTGCGGTTGGGCTTCACGTGTAATACTCAGTAGAAGACTCATAGAGAGCGCTAAGTCTTTGAAGAAGCTGCTTTGTGTCCAGTTCAATTAAAAATTGGATAACATTGGTTTTATATTGAGCTTATGGACGTGTTTGAATGAATAGGTTGCGGTTAACTAGAACTATCCAGGCTTTGAAGAAGCCGAAATCAGCAGAAACCTCAGCTTTTGTCAATAAAGAGTGTAACAGCTTCGTGTGTGCTTCCGAAGAAAGTAGAGAACTAATTTTAAAAAATTCCACCTTCCAGAAATCGTAACGCCAGTTGGCAAAAGTGAATACGGACGACAAATTAAAGAAAATCATAGTGCTTCGATATAGGAAATCTCAGATTGCTCAACTCTTCGTCACTCAAAGCACCAAATTCAACGAAGAAAAGAGAACGACACATGATAGCAAATCGCCTTCCTGGCAAATACATGTAGATTAAAGAAAAATTCTGTGTCCTTTTCTGAGCATCGCTGAAGATATGGTCCTTAACGAAAAAAGTTCTCACTGAAACCGTACTCTGTAAACGTCACACACTGTAGGCGTGGTTCAATTCTATCCGAAGTGTAGCACCAGCTTATTACTCGAACGTTTACGTATTGTAGAATGGCAGTTGAATGTTAAGTTGAAAACGCGTGCTATTCTATTTATTTCTGTGAAATGAAGATTCCGAAGATCTCATACCTTTGCGCCGGTCTTCTTTTCATACACAGATGATGGGATATTTTTTGACTCTTTCGAGTTCTCCTCTCTTGAGAGTTGCCTATCCATGAACGTTTTACTTATGTGAGTCAGGTCAATCGTATTTGGTTCACACACCGTGAGAAATGAACTACATTCAGATCAGGATATCAATCTGAGATAAACCACCACATTACATGTGATAACGATATCCTCCAATCCACGTGGCAATGGTCTTAGTGCAGCACTCGCCGATATTGTAAGAATCATCTCGCCCGGTATTCTACGACTTTCACGAAGAAGACGAAATTCTAAAGAAACAGCCGACGTAACGTGCGGGAACATTCGAAGGCCACTGTGGACGACAAAAGCGAGGAGAACAAAGCGAATTAGGAAGTGCTGGGATCCGTGCAGTCTATGCGATGATGGCTCATGAAGTTGTAAAATGAATAAAAACACGTGTGATAGTGAGCCATTCATCACTTCTCTTTAATTTGAAACCGACCGTTGCTTAACCTCGGTACTATAATAATCAACATTTGTTTGTATTGTTGAGTTAACACGAGTTGATACGAGATCTTTATTCGGCTAACGTTTCGACTTGTCGATGGTTCACGGTTGTTCCGTTTCTCGATGTGGCGCCTTCGCATGGCATCGAACCAGATCTTCCTGGCTCTTGAACTTTACTTGAAATGCGTCAGCAATTCTGCTCGGCGATGTTTTTGGTTCCTGCACAAGGATCGAGGCTACCAAATCCAAATCATCACCGTCTTGCCTTTATGCGTAGGTGTACCTAGAAAACTACTTTGTGGAGTTTTCATCTTTCAATCTTCTTATCTTATCAAACTTTCGAGACCATATCTGTTCATTTTCGTAGGCACGTTGGCACACTGTGAAGAATGTACGATTTAATTTTAGTGCGAGCGTGCTTTCCTGGTGTGTTTCGTCGCACAGAGCTATTTTCACAGGGCCTCCCTTAATCGTTATATGTCTTTTCCAACACAGATTTTCTACTGAGATTAAGCTGAAGTTGGGTGCCTACAATTATATATATAAAAATGCAGACCATTTTCGGATGAGCCACCACTAAACATTCACTAAACTCGCACAGAACTGGTTCTCTTTTGCGCTGCTTCCATAGTCTCGTCCGACTGTAGCGATTTAGATCTCTCTGCAAAGCTGTTCTAAAACTGGCATTTATTACTAGCCATCTTAAACGTGTTGCAGTAGGATAATGCTTTAGTTTCCTTCTCTTCTCGAGAAATTCCATAGTGGTGATGGAGATGCGATCTGATCTTTTTGCTAGAGGAACTGAGGCGAATACGGCACTGCTTTTCAGAGTTTCTACAAACAGCTCGTAGTCTTTGGGAGGGTCTTCTTTAATCTACCACTCATGTTTGGGTGAGATTTTATGTAGAATGTTCTCGTATAATACAGCTGGACTTTTTTTTCTCGTAGTCGATGACATAAATCCCTGTCCAGCTTGCGGCTGAATTGAATTTTCGCGCGAAAAGGCGGTGATATGAAGAAGTACAGTACGACAGCACTGTTGATCTGTCAAAGATGCAACACGTAAGCACCATATTCCGTTTGCGAGATTGTGGTCGATTTCCGCATGAGCCGTCCACCTAGCTGACTCCCATGTCGAGCGGCCGCTTTCTTTCTTCCGCAAAAACGAGTTCCCATAGAAGAGACGTGCAGCAAACAGATGTTCTGAGACGGTTTTCATTCTCATTTACTTCTTCTAATCCAAAATTTCCGATTCTGTATTCGCTGTCATAGGCCTTCCCTATTCTGGCGTTGAAGTTTCAGATAAGAAATTTTTAATACGATTTATCACAGTGGATAACCTCATGCAGCTTGTGATAGGACGCATCTAATCTCTATTCAACAGATACACCAGTCGATGAGTAACAATCGGTGTTAGTGATATCCTTGTGTTGCGCCGGTTGAAAACCGAGGATAGCCATGCGAGCGAAAAGGATATAGTACAAGTCGATGAGATGGACAATTGACGTGTGGACTACAAATCCTCCGCCATAGAAATTTCAGGAATGGACTATTTCTCCGTAGATAATAGGATTCGCGCTCTTTAGCTGGCGTATGCTAATCTTCATTCTTTTTGTTCTTAGTACAGTGATCGCAGGGAATTTTATGCCATCTGCAGCTTCAAAAAGCACACAAAGTGGTCTGACAGGGGAGAGTGTTCTGTTTGTATGCGTGCAGAGTAATAAATATTCTCCGTGGCGTGTCATTTGCGAGATGGTCAGAACTCACTTCAGCGACGTCTTGCATAACCCAAAATTTTGTGGCCTTCACCAACAACTGCAGCCTCAGCTTAACTGGGCTCAATGCCGATTTTGGCATTCCAGATCAATTCCACTGGTGGATAATTGCTGATTGCACTGGTAGGTCGAAAAATATCTGGGAGAAAGAAGAAACGAATTACTCGCCAAGAGTTGTTTTGAACACGTTTGCATTCGGAAAGGGTATTAGCATGTTCGATTCCCGCCGCAGACATCTGCCGGCTGGAGTTTTGCAGGTATATGAACATCTTTGTGGTTAGAATACCCTGACATTTTAAATTTTGCCATTTGCCATTTTTTAGTGATAAGGAACGGTATGAAATGCAGTCACAAAGATGATAAGATATCTGCGAAATATCATGTGCATATCTCAACCTCTTTAAAATGGCTTTCTTTGAAACTGTGTAAAACCACGGAAGCAGTTCTTTTAGGCTTCCCGTATAATCGACCCAACTGTGGCTTAACTTTGCATTGTGGTAGTTGAGTATCGAAGTCAAAGATTTTTTTCGTCGCCACTTGGCTCTCGATAACATTCAAACAACTGAAAGAGTTCGAATTCCTTGTCCTTCGCTGCTACATATTTTTTTGGTTTCCTAGACTAATCCCGTCGACGGGTAATTGCTGATTGCACAGGTAGATAGAAAATTAGCAGAGAGAAAGCGAAACGATTTACACGCCAGTAGTGGTTTTGAACGCGTTGAACTCCGGAAAGGGTAATAGGGCGTTCGTTCTCCACTGCAGATATCTGCGGTACTGATTTTTGCAAACATCTCAAAAATGACAAAGTGTAATTTCCCAGAAATGAGTAGGCCTTGTAGAGAATCCCTTGCTGTTCATTGTCTTCACGATGAAGTAGAGAAATCTGTGCAACGTTAATGGACGTGGACCTGTATTGACAAGGAAAGGCGCAATTAAATGGTATACCGGCCGAGAAAGGTTTTGCGTAGAATTTCTAATCGCACATTAATGGAGAAGTCGGCCGGTTGGAGAATGAAGTTGTACTGTTCGATGAGGTTCTCACGGCACTTGTGGTATGCAAAAGGCAGACATGCAATAGTAGGTAAGTGTTGACGAAACAGATAGCTTTTCTTTTTCAAAAATTATAACATTGGTTATTGGCGCGTAGGTAAACTGAGCTTGCTCTCAAGTGATCCGAAGCGGATTGCTGACGCACAAAGATTGTATTTCTTAGTCACTTTCTCGGCAATGTCACGACGCGATTCCAGCCATGGAGCGAATCGCTTCTCGATATCTAATAGGTTCTCCAGAAGTTAAAGGTCAATTCAAGGCATTTCTAAAGTGAAAGGTCTCAGGTCCGTGCTAATATCTAAACTAAAAATAAAAACCATTGAAATGTGCACATTTTTTCCAACTAACTTAACTTTATTTATACCAGTTGCATAATATTCTAGATTTCTGGATGCA